ACAATTAGACAAGGTTACAGAGATGCTGTTGACGGGCTTGTTTTCTTGCTTCTGTTTATTGGACCCTAATAACAATATTAGCACATGCTTGCGCTTGATGAAAAGCAGGAAAGTTGTTGGCGTTTCCGTTTCGGAAAAAGCTTGGGTTTAGTTTTTGTTGCAGTATTCTTAAATAATCCACTTTTTTCCATTTCTTTTTTTTCTAATTCTTTAGAGCGATCTGGTTACGGATGAGCTGGATGAGCCTGTGTACACATCGACCCACGGACCCGCCTCATGGGAAAGCGAATTGAGGTGGATGATAAGAATTTAAGTCTGTAGAAAACGATACTTTTGAAGGCATCTCCTAGAGAAACTAAGGAGTGCTCTCCGGTAGTAAAGGGTGCGTGAGCGCGCGTGGTAAGCGGGTGCCTCTATAGTTCTTTGTTTCGAGCGCTGTCACAGTTGTAGTGGAAATTTCAAGCTACATATTACTAAAATTGGAAGCGGCTTTCTCCGCGTGTAACGTATTCGCCCTGCTCTCCTTCGGGAAGGGCAATGAAATGGACCGACGAACTGGGGATGTGTGCAGCTCCTATCCAAGCACTAAAAATACTTTTCATAACGTTAGAGTTTAGAACAGGCACGTTCAGCGGCAACGGCGTATATGCTACAGCGCAGGTACTGGGGTCCGCAAAACATAAGCCGAAAGCCAAGGAAATTTAAGATTCCACAGATTAACAGTTATACCGAACCCGTCGCGCTATTCCGCCTGGCACGCGGTTCGAACTCAGCACCTGCGGGTCCCACCCTGCAGGTTCGCGCTTTGGCCGCTGCCGGCCACCAGGTCTTCGTCGTTAGCGCCGCACCCGCACACGCCAAGCCCCCGAGTGAATCCTACGGCGCCGTCAAAATTCACGAGGTGTGTGGGAAGCCCCAACCCACCCCCCGCATGTCGTCTCCACCATTACATACAAGGTCTCTCCCGTTGGGGGCTGGACAAATAGGGCCCGGCGTCACGCGGCGGCGCATCTTGGCGTTAAATGATTCGGCGCTGCACTTCACACGCCGGTGTGTTCCGACACCCGACACGGCTCAGCAGTCCGCACGCAAGCTGCGGCTCAAGCTGTGGCCCCGCTCCATTAGTGAGAAATAACCGACGCAGCGAGCCTTTACTTTGTTTCTAGGGTAATTTTCCATCGGCGGGAAACTACTGGGGCGGCAAAATGGGAAGGGGGAAAGTTGGTGATGGACGCGACGAAAGGGCTTCTCGCGCCTCCAGATTCGTTGCATCCCTCAACCCCCAACCGCTAACCGCAAACCGCAGGTTCCGGTTAGCTCCTGGCATAGATTAGATGCCGGTGCGCCCTGGCGGGAGTTCGCCGCCGGGGTGACGGAGGCGGTGAACGGCGGTGACGGCGGCGGCGGCGGCGGCCTGGGTACGGCAGTGGCGGCCTTTGCACCTGACGTCGTGATGGCTGTGGACTGGAGCGCGCTACAGGCAGTACGGAACCTGGCACCGTACTGCGGTGGCGCGCCGTACGTGTACCTGAACTACCGGGTGTTCACTCGTACGGCGACGGGACCGGATCTGGAACACATTCGGGGGTACGTATCCGTTTGCCGGGGGTTACCTGAGGGTGGGAGCTAGCTGGATGGACCGAAAGATCTCTTGTGTAGCTTTGAAAAACGTGTAGCGGACAAGGCCGCGGCCACGGCCACTTGCACGTGCACTCCTCGGCAGTTGGTTGTTGGATGGTTTAAGCAGCCTAGATTGTTGCCAGGATGGGTTAATGTCCGGGGGCCTGGCTGTGTGGTCGGCACACGGGTCGTTCCTCCCCAAACCCAACAAGTTGAAAATCCACAAAACCCTAAAACCCGCCGGGGCCCCCTCTATCCACCCCTCGCCTCACGACTTCCTCACCTCACCTCACCACACACAGCATGGAGGCGGCCGCGATGTCCGAATCACTGCTGACGGTGGCCCTCAGTCGCAGTGATGCCGACTACCTGGCAACCCACGTGGCAGTACGGCACAACGGGACTGACTCAGGGTTGGCATCACCATTGTCATCATCACCATCAGCAACACCACCACCACCACCACCACCAACAACAACAACAACAACAACATTACTGCAACCCGGACCACCCGCAGCAGCGGCGGCGGCGGCGGCGGGGGCGGGGGCCAAGGCACGAACACCCATCACGGTGCGATGTGGGGTGTAGGTCAGCCAAGTGGGGGAAAGGGGGGAGTGACGCGGTGGATCCCAGCAATGGTGATGTGCACGTGTACGCTGTGTGTGGGGGGGGGGTGTTGCAGAGGGCTCCAGACTCCTGAAGAGTAGAGCCCATGAGTATATACTGTGGAATACGTCTTATATACTGATGTAGTGCACTTACTTACATACTGATGTACTACCCTCGGAACCGTACGAGTGCTGTGCAAGGAGTGGGTGTAGGAGTCGGGGCTGGACAGTTCCTGAAGACTCCTCCTCCCTGTCCTTTCGAGGGCCTTATGACCGGGCCTATGCGACCTAGGGGGTCGTCCAGGGGCCACACGTGTCGGTGGATAGATAGCAGGCTAGAGCACCGAACTGGACCGAACCACGGGTCAACTGCAGGTGTTGCTTCCGGCTCTACGGGAGGATGTACGGCAGCTGGAGCCCCCGGTCGAACTGGAGCTTCGGCCCGTCCCGGCGGTAGCTGGCGAGGGGGAGGTTGGAGGCGGGAGCTGTGGCGACAATGTGGCCGCGGCGGCGGCGGCGGATTGGGCCACCAGTCGGCCGTACTTGTCGTGCGTTGTACGGCTGAGCCCTGAAAAGGAACCTGAGCGGTGCGTGTGGGAATGTCGAATGCTGGATGTTGGGGCAGAACAGGCTGAGGGGGGGTTGGCAACGTCGGCCTTGATGGTCCCCTGGAGTCGGGGCAGGGAGGGGGGGATTGACGGGGACTTTAATAACCCACTTGGACAGATACCTTGTCGTACACATAACTCCAGTGCCAGGCTGTGGCGGTGGCCAGCCTCATCAGCCTCCCATGTAAGGGAGGAGGCCTAGCTACAGTCAGCTGTCCGAGCTACAGCCAAGCCTCTTAGCCACACCCTCCCTCGGAAGGCTCAGGTGCCCTCTCCTTGCTCTCTCCTTGACGCTCTTAACGCCCTCTCCTTAACAGTATATCCCCCAACATGATGCTGTTAGGCAGCCGCATGAACCCTTACTGGTCCGCGTTTGTTTTCATTTTCATTTTCATTTTCAAAATTCCCCGTATGATCCCCAGAGCTGTGGCCGCCTCCCTGCCCTGCCCTGCCCTGTACCCCCCGCCCTCCACCTCCCGGAGCATCAACATTTGCGTTCAGCTGGTATCATCCACGCTGATCTTTGCCGTATTCCTCAGTAATGATAATGCCGTACCGCGCCATTTCCCTTCTCCAATCCCGCTCCATGTTCCCGTCCCCTTCCCTGCCCGGTACATATGTACATATGTATGTATGTACATGCGTATGTATGCATGTATGTATGTGCGTATTACATCTCAGGTTCATAGCCCTGGTGGAAGTGATGGCGGCAGGGGGGTTGCTGGAGCGGTACGGCATTACTCCGCTACTGCTAGGAGTGGCGAACGACCCGTATGCGCAAGTGGGTTCGGAGCACCGAGGGCCCATGCTATGGCTGTCGCAGCAGCAATAGTTTAAAAGATTCGTTTTATAGTTGTGTGCTGACGGTTAAGGGCAAAAGGCTCGGGCTGAACTTAATCACAAGAAATCTGTTTTGTGCTCGTTTGTTCGGTTTTTGTACTCGCGTCTTGCTTGCTGTGTCCGCTTTTCTTTATCTTTACTTATTTTGCAGGGCCTCAAATCACGGCTACGAGCTGCCGCGCCCGGCAGCGTCATCCAGGAGAGCTTCATGGGTCCTGCAGAGCTGGCGGCGGTGTACCGGAAAACGAGGCTCAACTTCCATCCATCGACGTACGACGCGTACGGCATGACGATTGTGGAGGCCGCATCACAGGTAAGGATATGTGGTGGTGGCGGTGGTGATGGAGGATGGATTGGGTCGTGGGCGTGTTTAGGACATGTGCGTGCACGGCGCTCGAACATGGAGCGTTTTTGAAAGCCGTACGGGCTCCAAAGCTACGACTGTATGGTGTGACTGTCGTACATTTGACTGGGACTGGATATAGCAAGGGGACTGTAGGCCCTTATTGGGAGTCCCTGGGCGGGGCATAGCTTGTATGGCCGAAAAGCATGCATCATTTTTGAACCATAAGGCGGACGATAACTTAGGGTTTCTGGGCAACCTTTTACACTTTTTGAATTCGATTTTCAGAACCGGATTAAGTTTTATTGTTAGGAAACATGTTTTCTGTTGGGTTAGCTTCTGAAAGCATGGAAGCATGTGATTGCGATCTGCTCGCAGGGAGCACCATCGGTGGTACATGATGGCGGGGGGGCTGTGGGCGCCGCGGACCTCCTGAGGGGTCACGAAGGGGAGGTGTTCCTGATCGATTTGACGGCCCCGGCGGAGAAGGTGGCGAAAGCGGTGTCGCGGCTATTGGAGCTGCCTGTGTCGCTGGTGGCCACATCGGGCAGGGCCATGAGGAGGGCTCGGTCGTGGGATGAGGCAGCGAATGCAGCCGAGTTAGTGCGGTTGGTGCGGGAGGCAATGCTGCAGGGCAGCGCTGGATAGTATTAGTGTGTGATGGCGATGCAGATCCATAGAAATAATAATAATTATTATTTCTGCGTGAAGTTAGTAGTTAGTCTGCGGTTGGTGGATAGATTCGACGGGTGTAAACTGCGGCGGTTGCGGTCAACGGCGGCCGTACAGGAGTACAGGCAACCGGGATGCAATTTTGCTGGTTGCGCAGTCTTGGTGTTTCCTTGGAGGACGACAGCTTTTACAAGATTTTTGTGATCTCAGTTGGAGCTGTTATAATTGCGGATGTATGAACATATTTATATGATAATGACCACCAAGGTCAGAGTGTGAGCCGGTCAACTTCAGCAAGGTGCATGCAAAATGGCAGAGGTCAGAGCTGCTGTTAGAATTCGGCCCCCTATACGGTCAGGCGGTCCACCGCTATCGATTAAAGGACAGGTGCGCTCAGTCAAAGTGAAACTAAGGCAATGGCAGATCTATAACCATACTCAACACCTTTCCTGCAGTATGGCCAATTTGCTTTTGACTATGTTGTTGAGGAAGGTGCGAGTCAGGAAGTAACATTTACGGAGTGCATCCTGCCGCAAGTTAACAACTTTCTCCAAGGAACCTCCTCCACGGTGCTAGTCTATGGAGCCAGTTCAACCGGTAAAAGTTATACCCTTGAGGTGCGCTTATGGTCGCAGGGTGGAATGGGTTGCTGTCCGTAAGACATGGCAAGCAAGTTGTTGTGGCGCTAAACAGCGCCACTGTAAGGGAAACAAATAACTCACGATGGCCCCCACATGACAGGGAGGCCCGCCGTCCGCCCGGACTGAGGGGGCTATCCCGCGTGCAATGCACGCCATCTGCAAGAACCTGGCCGTGGTCCCCAAGCACCGTTACAAGCTGTATGTCACATATTGCGGTAAGAGGCTGGAAGGGAAACCCCCGGCAGGCGTATAAGCCTTGTTCAATTCCGGCAACTGCAGCCCGTTACTTGCACGGATGTATTTCTCTCCCGCAGCGCTGTCAGCTGGCATCGAGGCTCAGATGGTCGATCTGTTGGCGCCTGGGTCTCCGGCTGTGTCCCTCAAAGATTCCTCAGCAAGCAGTGCCCTGGCCCGGCTGCTGCATTACCAGGTACACATTAAGTTCTGCCATATTGTATCACCATGCCCGTAACTATGCTTCCTTCGCTCGCTTTGACCGACATGGCTGACCTATTTTCGATCTACACCCCATCTTGATACAACCGCGGGCGCTGCCACTGTGTCCGTCGCCTGTAGGTCGATTCTCACGAGGAAATCTACGAGGTACGCCTACTGGTTTCTCGGTGCCCTTACGTATTCATAGTTCGGCCAGATGATTACGTGGCGCAGCCCCCCAAATGCACCCGCCCGCGTGAACATTTGCAATCTCGTACCCGCCAATCCGCTTTCTCTCTTTGTCCATTCCAGCCGCGCCCCTTGACCTGCTTCAACCTCGCATGCATGTCACGCCCCCTGCACAACCCCGACCTTGCTGCCGTCCCCACCGCCCTTTCAAACGGCGACCTTCAGGTGCTGCGCCAGGGCCGCACAACTCGCGCCGCCGCCTTCGGTGGTGGTGGTGGTGGTGGCAGCGCCGCCGGAGCCGGGCCCACGTCCAACAGCGGCGCCAGCGCCAGCGGCAACGGCCGCGCCTCCCGGCCGGTGACCTCCGCAGCGCATGTGATGCTCAACATCCAGCTAACGGGCTTTGCCGCCAGCGGTGAGCAGCTCGCCACCAACCTGACCTTTGTGGAGCTGGCGGCGCCGGAGGCCAAGGTGCGGAGTAGCATTGCAACCGGGTGCGGGGTGCGATCACACCCCAGGATGGGACACCCAGGCGCCCAGCTGTCATTAAGGGCTTCGCCAGGACCTGCATGAGGACATGGCGCTGCTGTTCCGGCACAGCTGAGCTGAGCTAAGCTGAACTGGCGCGGCTGCGTAGAGGGCTTCCGCATTAAGCCCTGCACGACACAGCATAGCATGGCATGGTGCTGGGAGGGCTTCGTAGACCCCCAGATAGGCCCAGGGGCACAAGTAGGGAGAAGTAGCCCATACCACCATATGCGGTTCCCGATGTTCCCGCAAGCGTATCTGTATGATAACAACCCCACACCTCTCATTGCATGTCCCGGCCCAGGACATGATGGGCTACCCTGCCACTGCAGACAGCGGCCTCACCCGCTCGCTGTCGCTCGCCTACGCCAGCCTGACTGCGGTCGTCACGGCACTGCGCGGCGGCTCCGGCGGGAACGGCAGCCGCCCTACCGACTCTCCGTCTCGAGGACACACGCACGTGCCGTGGCGGGACTCGCCTCTGACGCGCTGGCTTAAGGGCTGCCTGGACGGCTCGGGCAGCATCCTTGCAATTGCGACGGTGGCGCCGGGGCCTGAGGTAGGAGTCGGGGCAGGAGGTCTTAAAACGAAGACCGGGCTCTGGCAGCGACGCCGTATGCTGTGAGGGTGTGTCCGTAACCTAACCCGCTGTTGACTCGGTAGTTGATGGTTGAATTATTGCATGGATAACCCGCACCTAAGAAGCTTCCTGCCCAGGCGGAGTCGATGTTTTGAACTTAGGGTTTGCACCTTCGATCTTCGCTGCATCTTACTGCAAACAATGTTTTTTGCCCAGGCTGCTGCCGACACGCTGGCGACGCTCAGCTACGTGAACCGGCTGCGCTCTGGCCCCAAGTCTGATGGTCTCATCGTCACGGCCACGTGGGACAGCTCCGACCCCGCAGCATCGGCAGGCCTCGAGGCGGCAGTCACACAGGTGGAGCTGCAAAACTCCCTACAGCGTGCGGCACAGGCGCAGCGGGAGCGGCAGGAGCGAGAACGGGAGCTGCAAGAAAGGCAGCGGGAACGGGAGAGGGAGAGGGAGCGGTTCGGGAGTCCGATCCCAGTTCGGGCGTCGCCGTCCATGGCGGGGGCGCCGCCGCCGCCCCCGGCTGGGTCCAGGCCGCAAAGCACCAGTCGGTAAGCTTGCGGTTAACTAGGAATGTACGCATTCTGCACATCTGTTATGAAGTGGTCTTGGCTTGGGCTTGCCTCGCACAGCAGAGCGCGGCGCATGGCTTTAGGGCCTTCCTTGCCACGGCAAAAGTCCCTGGCACAACCCATCCTATGCCAGTCTAGCCACGACCAACCGGGATCAGACTTGCCTACAACCTACGGCGGCGACTTCTTGTTCGCTTGCTTGCTTGCCTGGGGCCTCCAACCCCATCAGCGAGCGCTTTCTTGAGTCCGCAATCCGCGGCTTCTTACCAACCCCCCTTTGCAATACCCCACCCTCCGCGCAGCAGTGCCCCGGCCTCCAGCCCGCGGCGGCAGCTGGACCCGGAGTCCCATCTTCAGCTGCCCACCGTGCAGCCCTTCCGGAGCACCGAAGTGGTCTCCTTCTCCACCCGCGGTGGCTCTTCCCCCCAGCAGCTGCCGTCCTCCGTCTCAGCACCCCACAACATGCAGCCCCAGCATCCGCAGACCTCAAAC